GATACATGCAGCACCAGTTCCCTGCAGCCCCTCACAGCCCAGCTGAGCTGCCCTTCTGTTCCCTATGCCTTCCCCCATCCACCTCAGCCCAGTTGAGCCCCGCACTGGTTCCCTGCATGTATCCCCCACAACACAGCTGAGCCCCCTATCACTGCACCTCCCTCCAAACCCTGCAAAACTGCTGAGCCCAGCGCTGATTTCCTGCCCCTCCCTCCCCTTGAGTCTAGCCTCCTGTCCCCAGTGCCTCCCTCCTCCTGCAGCCCAGGTGAGCCCAGCTTCCCGCACCTCCTCCCCGGCCCCTGCAGCCCAGCCTGGCGCCCCCTAGTGTCAGAGGAGTAGCGAGGGTGTTATGCGCCCAGGGGCAAAAGCAAAATTTGCGCCTCCCCCCCGCCGTGCAGCAGAGCCCCGAACCTGGCGCATGTCTGAGCTGGGCCATGAGAGGAGGGGGGGAGCTTGTACTGCATCTTCCCCCACCCCCTCAGTTTGGGGCAGGCCCCCACATGCACTATCCACAACAACACATGGAGGGAATCAATCGCTTCAGTAATGCCAACTCCTTTAGAATTGAGGCCCGGATTATCCAGCACAAGCTGAGGGAGAGAGGGCACCGTGTGCACATTTTACCAAAACTGCTACCTGCCCAACTTGCCTAAGGAGAAAGGAAACAGGGAGGCCAACAGGCATGGTTTGGAGCAGTGTTTCTCAACCTTTTTTTATAAAGTACCCCCCCTTAAAAAAATATCAGTACCCCCAGAACAGTTTTCAGACACACACACAAATTTTCTACCATTGCAACACATTTGTTTAAACAACTTAATCATAGCTGGGTGGGCGATGAAATTTTTGGGTGTAAAAAGTACAAAAATAACAAAGCACTGACTAACTTAAACCAAAAATTCAGTTTTCTCCAAATTTCAGTTGTATTAATGTACCCTCCAGACTTCTCTCGAGTACCCCAAGGGTATTCATATGACTGGCTGAGAAACACTGGTTTAGAGCAGCGTTTTTCAACATTTTTTTATAAAGTACCCCATTAAAAAAATTATAAGTCTTCCCAAATTATAAGTCTTCCCAAAAATTATAAGTGCACCCACCTCTCCCCCAGATCCAGGCATCCCGAGCACCCCTGCTCCAACCTAATGCCCCTTCTGCCCCAGAACACCACCTGCCCCACTCTAATCCACTGCCCATCCCCCAGAGCCAGGCACCCCCAGCTTCCCGGCCCTAGCCCAATCCTTCTCCACCTTCCGCAGAGCCAGGCAGGGTAACCCTGTCTTTAAAGTGGCTGCCCCTGCAGCTTAGCCCTGCCTTGGAGGTGTGATTGCACAGGGAGACGTGGCCCGACAGCGCTCGTGTAATATAGAAAGCTGCTACCTTATAGGAATGTGCTGCTGGTAGCATTTTCTTATCCGTATGATTGTAAGGAAATGCTCCTATAGGAAACTGCTACCAGAAGTAGCACAGTCCTACAGGGAGCATTTCCATATAGACCACGTTCCCCGCTTGCCGCAACTCATCGTGCTGTGCATTCTGCTCCCACCCCAGCCCGGCGCCCCCTGGCGTGGCGCCCAGGGGCAACTGCCCCCTGCTACGCCTCTGTGCCAGGAGCCTGGAACATCTGGCTGCATCCTCCGCCCAGCCCGGGGCAGGGCTTGGGGACCCGGCGCCGCACGGGCACTCTGGAGGCCCAGAGCACCCCAGCAGCCACGCTGAGGCCCGGTATTTTTTACATCGTTTGGGAAATGCTGCCCTAGAGTTCTTCTCTCAGTCAGTGGCTGCCCCTCATTTCTATGGTCCTACCCAAGTCTCTCTCCCACATCCTGGGATGGGGCTGTACTGAGCTCTCACTGCCATTCATCAATGGACAGCTTGCCACAATCTCACCTTTCTTTCCACTGGACCAAATCCTTCCCCCAGAACCACATCTGAGTAGCTGGGCTTGGGGTAGGAGGCTCCACGGGGCTGGAGGGGAGACACCTCCAGCAGCTCCCCTAGCCATCGAGGGACAGGGAAGCCACCCTATAGGTCAGGAGTGGGCAAAAGGGCCTTTGTGGGCCGAATCCGGCCCACCAAGCGGGTGGATCCAGCCTGTGGAGGCCCTGCTGCTCCCCTGCCAATTAGGGTCTGCGGGCGGGGGAGCGCGTGAAGCCTCCTCCCGCCCTGCCAGGAGCACTTGGCGCTTTGAAATGCCAGACGCTGCTTGCAAGGCAGAGGGGAGAGCAGAGGAGGCTTCCCGCACTCCCCCTCCAGGCCCTGATTGGTCTGGGGGTGGGGGAGCAGGCCAAGTCTCTTCCAGGGCATGGGTGCCTAGAGGGAAGGGGGGGCAAAGGGGCTCCCCCACCCCCAGACCAATCATGGTCTGGGGGTGAGGTAACCCTGCCCCTTCCCATTTAGGCCCCGCCCCTTCCAGGGTGGCCCAGGGCTACTTCAAAAATGTTTGAAGTGGCCCCCGGGCAAAAATTATTGCCCACCCCTGCTATAGGTGCTACAGCAGCCCCAAGGAGTAAATCAAGTGGGCAAAGCCAGGCTCAGCCCAGCCAGGCATTATGCCATTAGATCTTGACTAAACAGAAATAAGGGTGGAATTTTCTAAAGTGCCTAAATGAGACAGGAGCAAGATCTACCTAGTTTCAATGGAATAAAAAACAGGACTATGTAGCACTTTAAAGACTAACAAGATGGTTTATTAGGTGATGAGCTAATAAACCATCTCGTTATTCTTTAAAGTGCTGCACAGTCCTGTTTTTTGTTTCAGCTACACCAGACTAACACGGCTACATCTCTATTACTAGTTTCAATGGGACGTGTGTTCCTAAGTCGCTTTGAAAATCCCACCCCAAACACTCAGGCAATCTGGGGGAGAATATTGGCAGGACCCTTGGGTCCCTGTGCTTTGGGGTCCATTGCGGGAAGAGTATCTAGCCCACGGCCATACAGATAGCATTGCACACATCTGATGGCTGTTGTCTGTGGCAGCAGCCGAAGGGGAGGAAATATACCCTGCTCCGTGGTGCCTCACTCAATCCCTTCAGTCCCATAAGCTGGGCTAAAGGGACTGCAGATAGCTGCTGGCAGCTCCCTGGCCTCTGGTTGTCTCAGGATGCCCACGTCTCTTTGGTGGCTCCGTAGCCAGGATAGCCCTATCCCAGTGGTTTTCAAACTAGGCGATGTGACCCAGTACTGGGACACAGGATGTGAGGCACTGGGCCTCTTTGCTGTAGGCTGAGAGCTCTGGGCCGTAGGAGGGGGCTCCAGAGCTGTGGGAGGAGGGGCTTACCACAAGCAGCTCCTGGTCAGCGGTGCAGCGGGGGTGCTAAGGCAGCTTCCTGCCTCTCCTGGCACCGCTAAAGGTGCTGCCCCCCAGAAGCAGCCAGCAGCAGGCCTGGCTCCTGGGGGAGAAAGGGGAAGAGCACACAGGACTTCATGCCCTGACCCTACCTCCATACTCCCATTGGCTGGG